GAGCAGGGAGCCCGATGCGGGGCTCGATCCCAGGACCCTGGGATCATGACAGGCAGGCAATTTCTTATAAAACTGAAGATAGTCCTACCATATGATCCAGCAATCACGCTTCTTTGCCATCTACCCAATGGAGTTGAAAACTTACGTCCATACAAAAACCTGATTTTTATGGCAGCTTTTATTCATAATTGCCAAAACCTGGAAGCAATCAAGATGTTCTGTAGGCGAATGCATATAGAAGCTGTGGTCCATCCAGACAATGGAAAATTATTCAATGCTAGAAGAGAAATGAGCTATCAAGTCATGAAAAGATATGGAAGGACCTTAAATGCATACTACCAAGTGAAAGAAGCCAATCTGAAAAGGCTGCATATGGTATGATTCCAACTCTATGACATTCTGGAGAAGGTGAAACTATGGAGACAGTAAAAGATCAGCACTCGCTACGGGTTAGTAGGGAAGGAGGGATGAAGAGGTGGAGCACAGGGGGTTTTTAAAGCAGTGAAACAATTCTCTATGATACAACAGTGGTAGATAAATGTCATCATACATTCAATCGAACCCGTAGAACGTATAAGACCAAGCGTGAACCCTAATGTAAGAAATAGACTTTGGGTGATACTGATGTGTCACTGTTGACTTCTTCGACTGTCACATGTGTAGCACTGTGATAGAGAATGGCGGTAGTCGGGGGGACGGCTATTCATAGACTACTACTATATGCATGTGTGGGAACGGGGCATAAATAGGAACTCCCTATGCTTTCCATTCAAGATGCTGTGAACCTAAAACCACTCTTAAAAAATTTTATCAATTAAAAAAAGAGTTGCGGGACGCCTGAGTGGCTTGGTCGGTGAAGTGCCTACCTTCGGCTCAGGTCACGATCCCAGGGTCCTAGGATCGAGCCCCGTGTCCAGGTCTCTGCTCAGTGGGGAGCCTGCTTCTCCCTCTCCTGCTCCCCCTACTTGTGCTCTCTCTCCCTCTGTGTGTCAAATAAATAAATAAAATCTTTTAAAAAATAATTTTTAAAAAAAGGTTGACTTTGAGAAAAAAAATAACCACAGCACAAGCCCCTCGCCCACACAATCAAGAAAATGCCAGCAAAGTTACTGTCATCCCAGCAGCTTAAAATCTGAGAGCAGGGGCGCCTGGGTGGTGCAGTCGGTTGAGTGTCGGACTCTTGATTTCTGCTCAGGTCATGATCTCAGAGTCATGAGATCAGTGGGGAGTCTGCTTGAGATTCTCTCCCTCTCCCTCTGCCCCTCCCCCCTCTAAAATAAATAAATAAATCTTTAAAAAATGAAATAAAAATCAAATCTGACATCCATATCCCCTTTCCTAGGTCAGACAGCGTCCCAAGAGCCTGCCCTGCCATGTCACGCACCAGCACTCCTGATTCACATGAACTGATTCCTTACTGAGCACCAGCCGCTGGACCAACTGTCTCCATGCAGGATTTGTTGGATTCTCACTACAACCCTGTGAGCCAGGTATGGTTAGAATCTCTGATTTACAAATGAGGATCCCAAGGTTTAGAGGGAATGAAATGACTTACACTGCAAACTCACATACTTAGAAGCCTTAAAAATTCAGCCTTTCTGAATCCAAAGCCAGCGCGCTGAAGGATGGTGCTCTATTGTTTACACCTGGATTTTCAGCCTTGACCCAGAGCAGAAGGGGAGGAGAGTAGATAGAGTAGGAGTGAAACAGAAAACTTTCTTGGTTTCTTCTTCATCTAGATACCAATTATCTAGGATTTCTAACCTATAAACTTAAAACTCGTTTGAGGAAAATACCCCTTCGAAAGGTTAATCGTGACCTTATGTGGGAAGCAGCAGGGCTTGGGGGCAACATCCACACATGTCTTTATCAATAATGCTCCTTGAAAAATTAACAAATGTGTAACAGCACCTACTTTCTCCTGCTTAATGTACTTTCCCATATAAGCTAGGCCTTTCCGTCTCTGTTCCGCTTTAACTCATTCTCTGCACCTGAATGACATTGAGTTGCATATGGATTTTATCAAGGAGCACCTGCCTGGTAAAGACAGGGTGCCTTCAGTTAAATCTGGTGAGTCTCCATCAGAAAGGATAAAGGGGAGATAGCTACCAAAACAGGGATATTTTGCAAAATAGTAAGACACTAGTTTATTTTGCACAACTCTACGCAAATAAATTAGAAAACCCGGAACTCTATGCAAAGAAGAGGAAACCTACAAGAAACTTATAGTTTTTTAGAAAAATGCCATTAATCGAAATTGACCCCATTGGAGACAGAAAGCCTGAATAGATCAATTACCAAAGAAGAAACAGAGGAAAATAATTGAAAAGCACCAGCTCCCCATCATTTATTAATAGAGAAATTATACCAAACCTTTAATTAAAAAATTTTTTCTTTAAGTGGGCTCTAGGCCCAACGTGCGGCTCAAACTCACAACCCCAAGATCAAGAGTCACACACTCCACTGACTGAGCCAACCAGGCGCCCCTATACCAAACCTTTAAAGATCACATGATTCCAGTTGTTCTCAACCTTTTCCAGAACATAGAAAAAGTAGGAAAATTTCCAAAATATTTCTATGAAGCAAATATGCCATTTATGCCAAATGTTAACAAAGATTACACACAGAAAGAAACTTTCAGACCAACTTTATTTCTGAAATATACAAAAATCTTAAATAAAATACTAGCAAACAGAATCCTATTTTAAAAATAAGACATTGGGAGCATCTGGCTGGCTCAGTCAGCAGAGCATGTGACTCTTGATCTCCAGGTTGTGAGTTTGAGCCCCACGTTGGGGATAGAGATTACTTAAAAATAAGATCTTTAAAGATTTTATTTATTTATTTGAGAGAGAGACAGAGATAGCGACAGAGAGCAAGAGTGGGGAGCAGAAGAGGGAGAAGCAGGCTCCCCACTAAGCAGGGAGCCCGATGCAGGGCTCGACCCCAGGACCCTGGGTTCATGACCTGAGCCAAAGGCAGATGCTTAACCAACTGAGCCACCCAGGTGCCCCAAAAATAAAAGCTTTAAAAAATAAAATAAAAGCAAGACATTGTATCAAGCAGAGTTTCCAACAGGATTGTAAGGATGGTTCAATGTGGGAAGAGTTGTTAGTATATTATAATAATAGGACCAAGGGGAAAATTTGTATGAAGTAGCTTAGAAGTAGCAGAAGGCATTTTTAAAAAGTCAATACCCGTTCATGATAAAAATGCTATATAAAGTAGGAATTAATGAATACTTCCTTAATATGATAAAAATAAAATACTGGAAACTTTCCCGCTAAGGTAAGGCCACTTTCCCACTCCTTAACACCATGTTGGAGTTATTCACTGTAATGGAACAAGAAAAAGCAAATTAGAGCAAAGAAAGAGATAAAACTACAATTTCAGATCGTGTGACCATATGGAAAAAAACTACAATATAAGAGCATTTGGGGGGGTGCCCAGGTGGCTTAGTCAGTTAAGTGTCTGCTCAGGTCATGATCCAGGGTCCTGGGATGGAGCTCTATGTTGGGCTTCCTGCTCAGCGGGGAGTCTGATTCTCCCTCTCTTCCGCACTCGTGCTCTTTCTCACTGTCTCTCTCTCTCAAATAAATAAATAAAATCTTTTATTTAAAAAAAGAGCATTTTGGGGTGCCTGGGTGGCTCAGTTGGCTAAGCGACTGCCTTCGGCTCAGGTCATGATCCTGGAGTCCCTGGATCAAGTCCCGCATTGGGCTCCCTGCTCGGCGGGGACTCTGCTTCTCCCTCTGACCCTTCTCATGTGCTCTCTCTCATTCTCTCTCTCTCTCAAATAAATAAATAAAATCTTTAAAAAAAATTTAAAAATAAATAAAAAGGATTTTGTAAAAGAAGCAAGTCTTAAAACCAGCATGCAAAAATCTATATGCAAAAAACATAAGTCATTGAAAAGATATATTGGAAGAAAAAGGTATAATGGAAGAGATGACCCTATTGGTGATAAAAAAAATAAAATAAAATACTTAAGCATAATCTTACAAAGAAATATCTAAAATTCATATAAGAAGCTATAAAAACACTTTTGGAAGGCCAAAGGGGAGCTTGAACAAATGAAAAGTCATGTCACATTCCTGGATAGATCATCACGAAGATGTCAGTCCTCCCTAGGTTAATCTATAAATTTAACAAGATCTCAAAAAAAAGGGGCGCTTGGGTGGCTCAGTAGTTAAGCGTCTGCCTTCGGCTCAGGTCACGATCCCGGGGTCCTGGGATCTAGCCCCGCATCGAGCCCTGCATCGGGCTCCCTGCTCAGCAGGAAGCCTGCTTCTCCCTTTCCCACTCCCCCTGCTTGTATTCCCTCTCTCTCTATGTCTCTCTCTGTCAAATAAATAAATAAAATCTTAAAAAAAAAAAACATTAGTTTTCTTCCCCTGGAATTAAAAGCAAGTAGATTATAATTTGGGCAAGAAGAAATAAGAACAGCCTGATAGTGCTTGAAATACAGCCACATTCCAAGATATTAAAAAATATATACAGCCTCTGTCATTAAAATGAGACGCTGGCCTACTCATAGACAGAAGGGCACGGAAACAGAAGGGAAAATCCAGAAGCAGAACCACTACAGATGCAAAACAAAGTACAAGAGGCAACATTTCCAATCAGTAAGGGGGCTGGGGGGGCTTTTCAACGTGTGATGCGGGGACAGCTGGCTGGCCTAATGGAATTAGATATAAGTAGATCCATTCCTCATACCATACACTCAATAGATTTCAAATGAATCAGAGATTTCAACATCAAACAAAAACAAAACCATATGAGTATTAGAAGAAAACATGAGGAAATTTCTCTGTATCTGGGAATGAAGAAAGCTTCCCTATAAATATGACTCAAAATCCAGACACAATAACGGGAAAGATTAGTAAATTTGACCAAATGAAAATAGAAAATAGGGGTGCCTGGGTGGCTCAGTTGGTTGAGCATCTGCCTTCGGCTCAGGTCATGATCTCAGGGTCCTGGGGTCGAGCCTCCTGTCAGGCTCCCTGCTCAGCAGGGAGTCTGCTTCTCTCTCTGCCTCACCCCTCACCCCTGCTCATGCTTGCTTACATGCTTTCTCTCAAATAAAATAAATAAAATCTTTAAAAAAAAAAGAAAATAGAAAACATTTACAAAGCTTAAAATACCATGGCCAGAGTAGAAAGGCAAATGATGTACCAGGGAAAATATTTGTGATGTAGGTCATAGACAAAGGGTTGCTCTGCCTAATACGGAAGGAGATCCTAAAAATTAGAGAAAAAAAAGACAAAAACCCTACCTAAACATGGGCACTAGATATGAACAGTTCACAGAAAAAAAGCAAGTTCCCTTCGACATATGAAAAATTGCTCAACCTCATTCGTTATAAGGGAGATGTGAGGGGAGGCCATTTCTCACCTGTTGGATTGGCACAAATCCGTGTCTGCCAACACATTCAAAAAATATTTATTAATCACCTTTGGAAGATATTAGGAGACCAAGTCATTATTTTTAGAATGGGTATATATAGGAGGAGAAATTACCTTGTCATTCCTACATAAATAGTATTCTTTGGTAATCAGATAACTGATAAGGGGTAATCTGTAAATTCAGAACCGATCAGACCATACTACTTATCGTTTTGCAATCCCTAATGAACCCTTAGGCAATGATCACCAACCACTGCTGACATCTTTTTTAAAAAAAAAATGAGAAAGCCAGACGTTCTGTTCATCTATATGGTCATAAGCAACATCAGCTGTGAGTAGTTCTGAAAACAAACCAACCAACCCCCCCCAAAAAAAAAACCCAAAAAACCTGGCCAAGCCTGTGAATCTAACTACCCACATTACAGGAAAAACAAAGAGCAGCAGAAAAATATGTCGGATGGACCCACGATGAGACAATCCACAAAATCCAGGCTGTGGGAAATTCCACAGTTTCTTTAACACTTACATTCACTTCTCCATTCCTCTCCTCCTCCGAATTTTTATTATTGCGCTTTTCATTTCACAGTTTTGTAAACTGAGGCTCAGAGAGCTTTGGCACCGAACACTTGGAGATGTTGGAGAAACAAAAGAATGACTTGGCCCAATCGTACAAGATCAGAAGTGGCAAAGGTAGAATGCGACTCGACCACCCTGTTCTAAAATGCTCCCCCCTGACACACACAGATACACAACCTGACTTATTTCTTGATTCCCCCCCAAAACGGAAGCCACGGAGGCCCCGAGTGCCTGACAGCTACGAGCATTTGACACTGTGCCCACTGTTTACAGGTTGGGCAGTCTCCAGCCTCCTCTGCTGCAGAGCTGCTCCTCATCTTGCCACAGACACCTGCAGGGTGCTTTGCGCCCTCATGGGGGCCCTGAGCTTCGGTAGCCCCATTGTGCACCTGCGTTAAATGGCAGCCCAGAGAGTTTAGTGTTTGGTGAATTAGTGACCAGATGGGGACTAGAACTGTGCTCCCTAACTCCTACTCCAACACTATGCCCTCCCCACGGACACCTTTCCCCATGGTCTGGAAGGTTCTGACACCTTCTGGAGCACTCGAGCCTTCTGGGTCCCGCTGCCAGCTAGCATGATACCAGCAGGCCCCTGTGAAATGGCAGTCACCAACTCATACCCCGGCCCTCGCTTTCTGAAGACACCAGCAACCAGGCCATCCATGTTTCCAGCTGTCACCAGGGGACCACCCAGATCAACCAGCAGGTGGGAAATTTCATTGCCTGCAAAACCTCCCACAGAGCTGATCTTCCTTTCTCTCTCTTGGCACCTGAGGCCCCAAGCTTATTTTGTCCCCTGGCTAATATCTGTGACAAAGCAAGCCCTGAGAGAGAGGGTGAAGATGCCCTTGATTACCTCAGCAACAGAACATGCTGTGCATGTGAATCATATAATCCCATCCCCATGGCAACAGAGAATCACAGAATCACGATCCTTTGGGGCCCAGTGACAGTAACACCCACTTTAGTCCAAACCATTAGATGAAAACAGAAACACAAACAACTCCCCCCCAAAAAAATCATGTCATTTACTGTTCAGATAGCCTTCATATCCTTGTCCTTATTCTTTGTTTGGATTGTTTTTAATGAAGTGTTGATTCAGAGAGGATAAGCCTCTGAGTGTCCATTTTGGCTGCTGATTTGGGGGCTGATTTCAAACCCGAAGCTTTGTCCCGCAGTCTGAGGAACAAAGGAGCGTGGTTTGATTGATGGAGACAGACCAAGTCTGCAAGAGAAGAATGAGATATGCTGATACCAAAGACCACAGAGCCGAGGCAAGAATTTCTCATTCATTTGTCTCTTGATGCATCTTCCTATGGAAGATGGGATCATCCCGCCTCCAAGGTTGGCATGCAAGGAATGACCTTCCCTTTTATCAGCTGGAGGCGCAGATGGTAATGGGAAAATACGTCTCTGCCGTCAGAACACCTTGGACTCCTGGCCTCACAGCAACTCCCCAGGTCAGGGGATGATTCAGTATGAAATGTAAATGTGGGATCTAGGGAGGTGTGACACCTCTTCCAGGTATCTGCTCTGCCTCATCCATGCGTCTGGGCCTCATTCAGCACTCTGGAGCAGGGCGATGTCTCCCAGCCCTCCAGAGGAGCCCACTGTCAGCTGAGATTCACAGAGCAGGGAGCATGGGAGGTTGCCAGTCGAAGGATGAATGCGTCCCCTCCAGGCACACAGGCAGGCGAGTGCCAGGAGGGAGGGACAGGGTCTTATTTGCCGCCTCACCCCCAGTGGTTAGCCCGATTCCTGGCATATATTAGGCGTTGGAAAAATTTTTTTCATGTGGCAGGAGCGTGGGGACAGGTTGGTTTCCAGTCTTCCTGCTCCTAAAGAACTGAACAAAACCAATGAGGATGATGGGGCGGGGGAGGACCCACCAACTCTGCCGCACTAGATCCCCACAAACTTCCGTATTTACATAAAGGAGGACAAACTGCCTAACACCAGAGGGACAGGACTCTGCTTTCAGTCTGGCACACGAGCAGCTTGGAAGGTGCCACTCCATCCTAGCAAGTAAAAAGCTGAACAAACTGAAAACAACTTTCCTTAGACCCATGAGGTCGTAGGGTAAGCCGCTGCCCCCCAGATCAGACAGACACACAGGCGAATAGAGAAAGAATCAAGCTCACCACAGCAGAAACCCACAAGCAGGGATGTTGGAATTTAAAAGGACAATGATTCATATGCTTAAGGTTTCTAATGGATGAGGTAGACAGCTTGTATTACTCAAGGCAGTGCAGTATTGCTGAATAAAAGACAAGTTATTTTACATTTTTATCTCCTACTGTTAAGGAAGAGGCTGAGCATTTGATAGGCCTCTCCAGATTTGGGAGACAACGCACGTCACCCATGAGAATAGTGCTATAATTTGTTTTGTTTTGTTTTTTAAAGATTTTATTTATTTATTTGAGAGAGAGAATGAGAGACAGAGAGCACGAGAGGGAAGAGGGTCAGAGGGAGAAGCAGACCCCCTGCTGAGCAGGGAGCCCGATGCGGGACTCGATCCAGGACCCTGGGATCATGACCTAAGCCGAAGGCAGTCGCTTAACCAACTGAGCCACCCAGGCGCCCCTATAATTTGTTTTTTAGGTGACTCAGAAGGCCGACACTTACGAACGCTGCCTGAGTAAGAGAGAGAGCTCCGTCGCAGGTCCAGGCTGGGGTCCAAAGGCCCTACTGCCTGAGCCTTTGACCTATACGACAGGTCCTAGCCCGTGGTGCTCTGTGTACCCATGGTGGGCGCCATGATGCTAGAGATAGCGATGGTATGTGGAGTCTCTGGCAAGCCCCGATGGAAAAGCCGCAGCTCAGATACCTAGGGTTCTAGAACAAAGCTCTGCTGCCCTCAGCACATTCATAATTTGAAGGCAGCTCTTTCCATGCTACCAGCTCCGAGCAGAGACTAAGCCCTTGACCGTGGGGCATCAAGTGAGTAGAAGACCAGAGCTGCCGATCATGAGTTGTGCATGACCAGACCCACCAAGTAATAAAATTGAGTGGGCACAGCCACAGTCCATTCTGGGATGGAAATGGTATTTTCTCGATTAGGCCTGAGCAGGTTCACAGCGCAAAAATAAGGAAGCCAGACTGACTCCCATGTCCCCTACCTTTGTTGCAACAATGCCTGTCGCCCAACTCACATCTATGGCCTATTTGGGGGATCACCTACAACCAGATGATGGAGGGTGAAACGCTAAGCCTGGTTCACTGTTGGTGCCATCTGGAAAAAGGACCACCGCCCCATTGCTGTGTTGTTCAGGGGTGACCCTGGGATCAGGCGGTGACGGGAACTCCTCCAAGTGAGCGGCATTTCGAGCAGTGCATTTGCTGGTAATGGGGTGTGCAAGGAGCAGTGACCTGAGGTTAGCACTTACACGGACCCCTGGGAAACAGCAAGTGGCTTGTCTGGTCAAATAGGAGCCTGAGGGAAGTAAGCTAATTTTATGTTATATGACTATTCCCTTAATTTAAAAAAAAAAAAAAAAAGGATGGGTCTGCAAGCCAAGAAGGGACTGGGGACCCGCTTGGGGGTTTGTGCTTTCTGTCCCAACGGTTTTAGGCTCTGCTGGATTCTAGGTCCTGGGAGCTGGGGAATGGCGATGTTTATAGCAGGGTACATAGTGGGGATCCACTTAACCAAAAGATATGTCTGCCACCTGGTCATTTGGGGCTCTGTATGCCAACAGACCACCAGGCAAAGAAAGACCTTCTCCTCTGGCAGGGACACTAGACCCTGATGATCCTAAGAGACACAGTTGCTGATGTGTGTTGGGAGCAGGAAAGAGCGTGTGCGGAACTCCACGGATGCATGGGATCGCCTCTTTGGGTTTCTGCACCTAGTGATAATCAGGAAGCAGCAATAACAAAGGCCCAACAAGGGCGTGGTAACCAGGGGCTCAGACCTCTCAGGAAGGAGGGAAGGAGGGAAGGAGAATTACCCTACCCAGCAATCAACGTCCACCAACAGCCGTGCTGGCTAGAGATGAGGGATGGGGTGGAAGAAGAGCTAGGCCACAAATGTTGGAACACCAATTGCGGTCATAGAGATTGTAGCCTAGCCCAATAATCCCGTGTTAAGCCCTTTTTTTTTTTTTTTTTGAGATCATGACCAGCTAGCTACCACTTGGAAGAATGAGTGACAGGATCGAGTGTGAACTGAAGGAGGAGCTGTCTGTGCTTCACCAGGGACACATCGGCATCCACTTTTACACTCCAAAGCCTGCGAACCGTAAACAACCTGCAACTCTGCCTCCCAGCCAGGCCATTCTTCTGGATACTGGAGGGAGCACAGCTGGACTAGGCACGGCAAAAGCAGAGGTGCTGGAGAGAAAATGCCCCTGGAAGCAGCCAGTGTGCAAAGACAGGCGGTAAGTTGGTGAATAAAAATCCCAGTCTCTTCATCCTTTGGGTGAGCTAACTTTGAGATGCATTCTGCATCGTCTCCCAGAAGTCCCTGATGAGATGAAGCTCCAGCTGGCTTGATAGCACACTCTTTAGCTTCCTCTCCTGTCCCACCTCCCCACTCCCCAGTAGGTATTACTTAAGATCACATCCCAGGGGCACCTGGGTGGCTCAGTCGGTTAAGTGTCCGACTCTTGATTTTGGCTGGGGTTGTGATCTCTGGGTCGTAGAATTGAGCCCCGAGTCAGGCTCTGTGCTGGGCGTGGAGCCTGCTTAAGATTTTCTCTGTCCCTCTCCTCTGCCCCTCCCCCATCTAAAAAAAAAGGCACCTTCTCAAAGCAGAAGGGTAGGGAGTGATAGTGGACCCTCCTAGAAATCTGTGGGGGAGGGAGTCTACGCAGGGTATCCCAATACAGCCTTTCCATTGATGTGAATAGGTCTCCTGAGCGCCATGGGAAAGTAAGGTCAGATGACAGGCAGGTGGGAACAGATAGGAGCACTGGAAAGGTTGGTGTGGGAAGTGCGACAGAGTGGTGATGGAGGACAAATGAGGACTCGTGGAGTGCCCCTGAGCACACAGCGCAGTGAGAGACCATGAGTCGCAGTTGACCTCCACCCACACTGTTGGGACAGCTCTCTCTGCAGCCACGGGAGAGGTTCCAGGCTTTTCTTAGAGGCGGATGTGTTCAGTTCGTAGCTGTGCAAAGTCAGGCCGTGCAGCCTCATGATTCCAGAAAGCTCCTGGAGTGCAGTGCTCATGGAGACTGAGCCAGCACTCCAGGTTTGAGGAGCAGCTGTGGATGGGGGGGAGGGGGGCAGGAGGTGAGGATGGAGGAGGAAGTTCACAGGGGCAACCAGGGCTTATCCCAGCATATTAGGAACATGACCTGAAACAGCAGGAATCGTTTAAGACTCCAGGAGAATAGAAGATTCCAAAATACCCACTATCTTGGCCTTGGGCTGCTGGATCCAGCTCACGCCAGCTTGCAAGGGATGGCTTTTACTTTTTTTTTTTAAGATTTTATTTATTTGTCAGAATGAGAGAGAGAGAAAGAGCACAAGCAGGGGGAGCGGCAGGCAGAGGGAGAAGCTGACTCCCCACTGAGCAAGGAGCTTGACATGGGACTCGATCCCAGGACCCTGGGATCATGACCTGAGCAGAAGGCAGATGCTTAACTGACTGAGCTACCCAGGCATCCCATGGTGTTTACATTTTTAAGAATTTTGCAAGTCAGTCGGCAACAAGTTGGTGGTTGAGATCATCCATGGAGGAAGGATTTACCCATGGAAATCATCAAACAATGTAAGTCATGCCTTTGTTTTTCCCCCTCTGGAGAGCAGGTTGTAAAACATTTCCCAGCAAACCACTGTGCTCTGGTGCAAAGTTGGCCCTGGGGAAAAGAGGAAGTGTGAACGTGTCAGGAAAAGGTCCACAGCTGATCCTAGCTGGAGAAAGCACCTCGTGTCTTGTGCCTATCACAGCTGGGGAGAGCCCAGAACACATGGAGGGTGACGACCAGGGGGGGCACACATTTATGCCTGCTGCACACTAGCTCCCATGGTCTAGCCAGCCCTGCCGGAAGAGATTAAGAGTAAGCATCCGAGAAGCAATTAAACACAATGGGGCGTGTCTCCTCTAAGGGAAACCCTAGAGATCCCTGAGAAAAAGGGCATGCATGCATGCTCACAGAACAACTTTTGCTTGCAAAAAAAAAAAAAAAGTTGCAGCCTTGGGCATTACCAAGCTTGGCCCATCCCTACAACACGAGTCTGCCAGAAAATTTAAGAAATCAGCCCTCTGCTATAGCGTTGATACTGACCCTGAATCTTCTTGGGTCGGTTGACTTAATTCTAACTCCGTCATTGGCATTGGGACCACAGACTCCCTTACCCCCACCAATCTTGTTGATTTCATGAGCAATATCCAAGAAGAATCCTCCAACTCTGACCTTGGGGGTGAATACATCTCTCCCTTAACCCTGGGCTGGCATCCCAGCCAACTCATCCTTGGATCACCAAGACAGGCAAGGGATGGCGCTGTCACAGGGAGAGGCATTCAGTCAGTCTTCCAGGAATCTGGTTCCAGAGTTCAAGCTCCCCTCCCTGACAACGTTTTTTAAAATGACCGCTGAGCAGTGTCACTTCTGTGGCATTCTGCTGGTCTCCAGGCCAGCCCAGATCCAGGGGCAAAATCACACCACAAATTGCATGGACATGCGATTCATGGGGCGGGGAGGGGGGAGTCGTTATTCTAACAACCTACTACAGTCCTTGGTTTCCATTTCCATAGCTGAGACCACTCTGAGAGAAATTCCCCCGGTTCCAGGACCTTCGATTTGGCTCAGGACCTGGTGTTGTCCTCAACTTCCGCTCTGGCTGAGCAGTCAGCCGGCTGGACCCAGAACTGAATGATGGCCTTTTCCCCAGGTAACTGAAAAAAAAAAAAAACCAAAGTTAACTGGAAATAAATCCTTTTTGCAGTTAAAATTTTACCTTCATAAAATGTGGTACAGCACAATTTCTCAAACATACTTGCTTCCTAAGCCCTTCACACAAATTTTGAGACCCCAAAGCCCTATCGTGTTTACTGTATTAGGGATTGAAACTGAGAGTTCTTTAAATGTTGACTTATTAATTCACTTAGGAATAACAATGATGAACTCATTACAAAGTAACAAAAAATAATAATGAACTCATTATAGAGTAACATAAATTTTTATTGCTATGGAAGATAACTGTATTTTCCAAAACAACCCCGCTCCCCTAAAAAAGTATTAGTGAGAAGAGTGGCATTGTTTTTGCATTTTCTCAAATCTCTTTAATGTCAGATTTCGTAGGAAGAAGCTATATTCTCATATCTGCTTCTGCATGCAGTCTGTTGCAATATGTTGTTTTAGTTGAAGTGTGTGAAGAAATTATGGCCTTATATATATGTGTGTGTCTGTGTGTGATTGGAGAGGAAAGGAGTATTTTAACAGCTGTGTCAAATAATTGTGTATATTCTTTGGGATCTTACTAAAACTTGACAAGTGGTAGTTTCTTTCTTTTTTTTTTTTAAGATTTTATTTATTTATTTGAAATCCCGTGTTAAGCCCTTTTTTTTTTTTTTTTTG